CGTAAATATATCAAAACTTAATTTTTGATTAGTAATATGCATTGCTAAGGACTTCATTTGGACAACTTTAAAGGCAATTTTCTCAATATTTTGATTTTCTTGCACCCTCAGATTCCAGATTTTCAAATAGTTGTATCTCGGTCAAATATTGTCCTATTCTAACAAACCATACATCAACGGAAAGCTTATTTATTCAGCTTCCAGATGATATATAAATCTCAATTTTGAAAAATTGACACTTAAGACTGGTTTTGTGCTCCAGGGTCACATATATTGTTATCATGAAATGTAAACAAAAAATATATCATGATCAGGGCTTGACATACATTTTTTTGCTCACCAGTCACTGTAGCTAGTGGTTTTCCAAATTGACTAGCCACTCAGCATTTTCACTGGCCACAATTTTGTTGTTGGGAAATTACGTTTTATATGACTCAGTTTTTTTCAACCGCTTACACACAAAATCTTCACTTCTCACACAATTTCTGAAAGCTGACACTCAAACTCCAGAAGCACACACCAAATCTGCAAAACCATACGCTATTTCTCAGCCTTTGACTCAGTTTTCAACTTCATAAAACACTTTTTTGCAAAACACAACACACAATTCTCTATGTAACTCACAAACATCTAACAGGAATTAATATTATGGCAAAGGTGTTTGCGAATGTTTGCTTCCGAGATGTGTTTGTGATATTTTGAATGCAGTGCTTCAATTTGCAAGAGATGTGAGGCATTTTGCATTTTGTGTGTGCAATTATTGGATTTGTGTGTAAAGTTATGAAAAAAAGAGGCAAAGTTTTGAAAATGTGTTGAAAAAAACCCCATTTATTTTCAACAAGCAGTTGAAAAAAACTAATACTGCATACAAAAATGTATTTAAATTGATTTCCAGGTCATTTTTGGCCTATTTAAAGGGCATTTTCCCTAACCGTATTAAATGCATGCATCATCTTTCATATTAATCATTACATTTTGTTAATAATTTCACTTAATATAATAAGACAATATAGGGCTGTTTTTTTATAAAAAAAAATTTAATACACAAATATGAAATGTTTTTAAAAAATGCAAAGATAAGCTAGTATGAGAGTTAGCCGCCAGTAGGTGGCAGCAAGTGACTGTCTTAATTAATTCCTTAATTAATTAAGCTTGCCTTCAAACGATTCGTTCAGACGGCTGATTCATTCAAGAACGAAGCAAGTGCGTGCCTGCATCCCAATGTGCATACTATACATCCTAAATTCTGTGAAATTATGTGATATTAGTAATTTTCAATACTATTTAGGGCAGATAGGGTGCACATTGGGACGCAGGGCCTGTCGTTATGAATCGACCACTGAATCATTGACTCAAATGATTCAAAATTCAAAAACGCGAATCATTCAGTACCGAAACACTGCTGTGTGTTGCTCAGATGCGCGACTTTTCTGCTGTGATCATTGTTTGGAACTATTTTCATTAAACAAATCAAGCAGAAACAGTCAATGTTAGCAAGTTATTAAATATTTGACTCAATTGATTAATTTACAATTTACAATTACAAACTGAATCGTTAACAAATGAAGCAGTGGACTTAAAAGAAATTATTCATTCACTTAAGCCTATATTTGTTTACAAACAATGATTCCTTACTCAATGAAAAACCACTAATTATTATATCTTTATAATTATACTTAATATATAGACTACAGTATTAATGACTTTAAATTTACTGTAGTAATTAATACAGAGACAGGCGTTTGGGCAAATAGCACTAATGACTTGTTTGGGACTTGAAGCTTAAAGTTGAGGACTTGCATCTCGACTTGGACTTGCTCGTTTTGACTCGGGACTTGACTTGGGACTTGTCTGTCTTGACTTGAGACTTGACTCGAGACTTGAATTCCAAAGACTCGAGACTTACTTGTGACTTGCATAACAAATTTGTTACCCATTCTCAATGGGAAAGTGCCTAAGCAACATTGCAAAAAAAAAGTTGCCCCATGTATCAACAGCCTTGCAGCCTACCTGCTTTAAAGGAGACATATTATGCCCCTTTTTACAATATGTAATACAAGTCTCTGGTGTCCCCAGAATGTATCTGTGAAGTTCCAGCTCAAAATACTCCACAGATCATTTATTATATCATTTTGAAAATGCCTATTACACCGTTGTCGCTTGCGAAAACACAATAACGGCGCCGTGGGTGGAAACTTACAGATTAAGGGGCGGTAATATTATAATGAGATCCCTTTGCCACGTCACCAAGGGAGCAAAATCAGACGCGCTCGTTTTCTCAGACGCTTGCAGAAAAAGGCTTACCAAAACAAAGTTACTGGGTTCATCTTTTTCACGTTTCCTTGTTTGGTAGATGCACCGGGGATTTGATTATAGCACTTAAAACCTGGAAAAGTCAGATTTGTCATCTTTAAAGGGTACTTATTATGCCCCTTTTTACAAGATGTAAAATAAGTCTCAGATATCCCGAGAATGTGTCTGTGAAGTTTCAGCTCAAAATACTCCACAGATCATTTATTATATCATTTTGAAAATGCCTATTTTGAGTGGAAGCAGAAACAAGCTGTTTTTCGGGCCTGTCTCTTTAAATGCAAATGAGCAGCTGCTCCCCTCCCCCTTTTCCAGAATAGAGTTGTACCTTTAAAGCTCGTACCTCAGATATTCTGCCAAAAACACCTGTTTGGTTTTGATTATCATGTCTATCGCGCTGAAATCATGCATTTTAAATCCATATCAGTTTATACTTGTGATACAAAGCGGCTGCCACACGGCATGTGAGCACTAAACTAAGTTCTCTTTCACACACAAGTTTATGTTAAAAACATGCATAAGTTACAAAAACACAGTTGGTTATGACTGTAAAGGTAAACAGCTGGGAAAGATATTACATGTTTATATTAGATCGTTGTATTAAGAGACAGCAGCGTAATATTCAGTACCTATACTGATGTCTATGCTGATAATATAACCCAAACAATAAAATAAAAGCAGAAAATCACTCACTGCTCTGGACTGAACAACTTCTATAGCTGTAATAAGAAGACATTTCTTACTTGAACACTGCTTTTAAATGCTCTAGCGTGAAGATAAACATGGCAGATTGTGTTCGGTTCACTAACGGTGAACAGAGCACCTGTCTCTGCTAATACAGCAGTGTCTGTCAACAGTCATGGGCAGGCTTGTAAAATGTGATGTCACACTTTACGGATTCTGTGATCGGCTTGCTCTGAGACACTGCTTATGAGTTATGGGGATTAAAAAAAGAAAGGAGCGGGTGGATTTTTATCATTATAGGGTGGTTGTGTACACACACTGCCAACACACATTTGTGTCCAAACAACATGTAAAAGTGAATTTTGCATAATAGATGCCCTTTAAAGGAATCTGTCGTAGAATCCCACCTCATTGAAACATGGCTTCAGTGGGTTACTTCCCAACTTACTTGAGTTTGTCCAGATGTTTGAGTGTTTCAGAGAGCAGCTTCACTCCTGAATCTCCTGGATGATTGCAGCTCAGATCCAGCTCTCTCAGGTGTGAGGGGTTTGAACGCAGAGCTGATGCCAGAGCAGCACAACCTTCTGCTGTCACCAAACACTGAGATAATCTACAACAACAGTAGTTTCATGTTAGTATGCTCCATTTTTAGAGATATACAATTTAATAGACAACAAACCTCTTCTACTGGTGGCCTTTGATTTGAATGAAATCACTGTGCTGCATGACACATAAAAGTACACACAGAGTACACTCAAGAGTACACTCATAGAGTCCCTAAGCCATTTTTGCATCGTCTCAGCTGTGTGCTTAGAATCATTGGGTCTCATTCACTAAGTATGTGTAGGCACACATTTGTGTGCGAAACCTGCGTATGAATGTTTTCACTAACAAATCATGATTCACTAAAACTTTCGTACTAAAATTTATTCTAAATTTAAGAAAAAATATAGGAACAACTGAAAGCACATGTACGCAAAAATCACACTATGTCCAGTCTTAATAATCTATATAATCTATACAGTGGCATGCGAAAGTTTGGGAACCCCTTGCAGAATCTGTGAAAATGTAAATCATTTTAACAAAATAAGAGATATCATAAAAAATGTATGTTATTTTTTATTTCGTACTGTTCTGAGTAAGATATTTTACATCACCCCCCCCGGCTCTTAATGCATCGTGTTTCCTTCTGGAGTATCGGTGAATGTTTGAACCTTTTTTAATAGTTGTGTTTGAGTCCCTCAATTGTCCTCAGTGTGAAAAGATGGATCTCAAAATCATACAGTCACTGCTGGAAAGGGTTCAAATATGCAAAAGATGCTGGAAAACTGAAGAATCTGCAGGACATGGAGTATTTTTCTGAAGAACAGTGCTCAGTTTAACTTCAGAACAAACAAGGGACTCATGAACAACCATCTCAAAACAAAAAAACATTCGTAGATCATCCAGGTAACCACACACGGTATTAAGAACCAAGGGTTCCCAAACTTTTGAAGGGAGTTATTTTAATCATTTCAGCTATTTTTTTTTGTCTTGTGGACTATATGTAAACATCTTTTATGTAAAATATCTTACTCAGGACAGTACTAAATAAAAAATAACATGCATTTTGTATGATCTCTCTAATTTAGTTAAAATTATTCACATTTTCACAGATTCTGCAAGGGGTTCCCAAACTTTCTCATGCCACTGTATATAGGCTATATAGGGAAAAGCGGGGTGATTTGAGCCTGTGGGGAAGTTGATCCACCCCTTGTTTCTAGACAACCTTAAACGATATTGGTGATATGACCACAGATATATGAAGAGTTATACATTTTACTCGCCCTGTGATAGAGAGATGCCCATGGAATACTTGGTAACTACATTTAGGTTCAAAAAACTGTTTTTTGCTGTTCAAAGTGATTTTTGTATGTTCAATGACTCTTGTGTCTAAACATTTACAGAAAAATCTGAAAAAAATAAATAAATAAAAAATAAATAAATATATATATATAAATATATCTATATCATGCATGTGTTTGTGCTTTAGGAAGTCATAACATGAGGCTATAATAAATAAAAAATAATAAATTAAATATATATATATATATATATATAAATATATCTATATCATGCATGTGTTTGTGCTTTAGGAAGTCATAACATGAGGCTATACTGTTAGCATGATTTTACCTCTAAACTGCTGGATGATACAAGTTTGTTAAAATGGTAGGAGTGGGGTAATTTGAGCCAAAGGTCCTGCGGTAAGTTGAGCCAGTGGCTCACCCCCTCTTATGATTATAATGTATTATTTTACTGTAATTCTACTGTCACGAATCCTGTCCGTGGTCTTCCGCCTGCTCGTCACCAGAGGTCGCCTTCTGATTATATTGACTCTCACATTACACAGACTGTTACATGTCACCCTGGACTACATGTCCCACGTTCTCACCTGCAGCCGATTACACACATTATAAAAATGAGGCTCTAACCACAGTTCAAGGCCGAGTATTGTTTACGCATATCGCTACGTCAGTGATAGCAATGTTACGGAACCATTCCGAGTTTAGCCTAGTTCCTAGTCTTAGTCTTTGTCTCGCCTTGATCTAGCCTGTTTTCCTGAATCTTGTATCTTAGCCTGTCTCCTCATTTTGTCTGTTTGCTGCCTGCCCTGGAACCATAGCCTGCCCTGGATTACCTTTTGTATTGCCTTCTCGGACTTTGCTTGTACCTCACCTGGACTATTGCCTGTCTGTGGATTACCCGTTTGCCTCGCCCTTTGAATTATGTTCGCCATCGATTGACTCATGCCTGTTTACCGGACTACTCTTCTCTTCTGTCTTGCCCTCAATATACCTGTGTGCCATTGTCCGACCCTTGTCTGTGTTGACCATGTATTTGAAAAAAGCTTTGCAGATGGATCTGCACGCCTCTAGTCTCATTCACTCCGTAACATCTACATTATATTTCATTATTACACGGCTCTGTGGAATACTTGATTCTGATTGGTCGGAATGCACTGGTGAGCTTTTAGTATTATGCAAAAAATATAATCAAATAAAATATAGTATAATATAAAATAATTATTAAATATTCTTAATTATTTAATTAAAACTGCTCCTGGTGTGTGCACATATGTGTGTGTGTGCACTTGGATGGGTGAAATGCAGAGCACAGATTCCAAGTATGGGACACCAATAAATGCAGAACTGTTCTATAAGTTGGTTTTAGCTAACACATTGATGTCACATGAGAAGCAAATCAGAATATTACGGCATGAACCTTGAATATACCCAGAGGTGTGTTATGAAATATTTAGCACTCTGCTCTCGTAACCTTTCATATGTCCTCATTTGTGTGTTCAAGGTGGAAACCATTGGCGATGCGTACTGTGTAGCTGGAGGCTTACACAAAGAGAGTCCGACCCATGCTGTCCAGATTGCTCTCATGGCTCTAAAGATGATGGAATTGTCTGATGAGGTCACGACTCCCATGGGGGAGGTTATCAAGGTTAGTGTTTCATCAGATTTTTCTACATTTTGTGTAGTTATAGCATGAATATGAAAGAATCAAATGTTCCATATAATTTTTAAAATGTTATGTTTTTTTTATGATTTTCTAAATCTTTCCTCAATTAGTCATGCAAACCTTTGCTAGACTGCTGAGTTGTTACAAAATAATGTTTCAACAGTATTGTTGGTTAGTAAAATAAGAAATTCTAATTTAAAACAAATGTGTGACTCATAAGAATTATATATTTTTGTGCAAACAAACTCCCACTACAAAGGGTGAATAATTTTTGAAAGGTCATCTAATATCCTATTTTAGACTCAAAAATAGGCATGATCAGTTTTTTCTTAACAATGCAATTGTGAAGTGGAATCAGTTATCAGATTTAGAATTAGATCATGAATACTGCTGCTTTAGATACAAAACTATGATAATTTTATTTATTACACGGCTCTGTGGAATACTTGATTCTGATTGGTCAGTCGCGACATTCCGAGGTATGCTATCCCTCGATAACAACCGGTAAAAGCTAATAACACAGGCTCATCCGGGTAACAGCAGTCGGCGCTGTACTCTTGCTTGAACAATTTTTTCTCGGTGGAGCTTTGCGTTTGTTTAGCTAATAAAATATTAAAACTCTACAAAAAATGGTGTACAATTATTTAATTATGTCATCCTGGTATCACGGACTCGCTCTCGTTTCATACAAACGCAGCTGCTTGCCATTTTGCCACGATTGTTTTGTACGCTGTAATGGATTATAAGAGAACTAACAAACTGGTAAGGTTTTAAAACATTTTCGTCTTAATTCTTTTATTGCCTTAATTATTTTTGTGGTGAAATGTTGTGTAATAAGTGGTTTGACTGCACCGTTTCCCTTAAATGTCCGTCTAGTTTGAATTTGCTGCTTGCTCGCAACTGCTGTCTTCAAGTAAGCTTTGCGTTCAAATATTTCAACTCAAATCAATATTTCGCGTCTAATTATTTACTTATGTGGCAAGTAGCCGTGTAATAAGCGGTTATTATTACACCGCTTCGCGTTTGAAAAACACCTTCAGAGTTGTGAACTGTATCTTTAAATAAAACATTTAAGAAGTCATCCATCCATCCATTCTATTATCCAAACCTCTTTGTCCTTATTAGGGTCGTGGGGAGCTGGAACTTAACCCAGCGTCTTTAGCCACAGGTGAGGGAACTCCCTGGATGGATGGCCAGTCCATCACAAGGCTCACACATAGATTTTAAGAAGTCATGTTTATTGAATTTCTCTTCCTTTGATATAGCATGAGGTGAAAATGTTTAGTTTTACTCCACCATAATCAGTGGCACAGTTTAACTCCATGTTGGCTCAACTTACCATCTCCCTAAGCTCAATTTACCCCTCACTTATACAGTAAAGGCCAGTTTATGTTTAATCTTAGCATAATAGTTAAATATGATATATAATTAAAGTTAAAGGGATAGTTCACCCAAAAATGAAAATTTTATGTTTATCTGCTTACCCCCAGGGCATCCAAGATGTAGGTGACATTGTTTCTTCAGTAGAACACAAATGATGATTTTTAACTCCAACTGTTGCAGTCTATTAGTCGTATAATGCATGGCAATGGTAAAATCTATGAGAGTAAAAAAAACATGCACAGACAAATCCAAATTAAACCCTGCGGCTCGTGACGACACATTGATGTCCTAAGACACGAAACGATCGGTTTGTGCGAGAAACTGAACAGTATTTATATAATTTTTTTACCTCTAATACACCACTATGTCCAACTGCCTTGAGCATGCGCACGGCATCCGGTGCGTGAGGTGTATGCAGAAGAAACAAAGTCACCTACATCTTGGATGCCCTGGGGGTAAGCAGATAAACATACAATTTTCATTTTTGGGTGAACTATCCCTTTAATGGTAAAGCTTCTGTCAGCGCTGATAGCCTTGTGGTGAGTACGCTGACATACAGCGCAACTGCACTCATGGCGACCCGACTTTGATTCCCCTCTCGAGATCCTATGCCGATCCTGCCCCCTCTCTCCACCCAGTGCTTTCCTGTCTAATCTCTACTGTCCTGTCTAAATATAAAACGCCCATAAATAATAAAAAAAAAAAAAGGTAAAAGTTTCATTGATGAGGTCATGTAGGACAAAGTTCAACTGGTTTTATCTGGCTCTGCTCAACAGGAAGTGTGGCAACACATAAAACATTATTATCCTTTTTATGTTTATTCGTGTACTTTTGAGGTACTTGGCATTCTTACATTTTCATGGTCTTTTGCACACTCATAGTCATCTGCCATTATAGCTTGGCCAAGGTTACATGGGCATGTAGAAGGGGCTCTACAGCGCCACCTAGAAAATGGCTAATTTTAGAGAACTCTGTAGCACATCCCTTTTCAGCTACGGTCACCAAGCTTGATAGAACTTTCACTCCACAGGCATTAGCTCCACCCAAAAGGAAGTCAGCCATTTTGGATTGGTAATCAAGAAGTCTCTCATATGGTCTGTATACATTGAGTGATTTACATATAACTTTACATTGGGCTGATCACACTGATGTAGCTATTTTGTATCACGGATATAGCACCACCAACTGGAAGCAGTAAGTGTTGCATTTACAGTCTTTGATCCATTTACATTTACACAAACAGTTAATGTTTTTGGCATACAAGAGCTGCATGATTAATCATTAAAAGGTTAAAATGTAAACATCTACACAATCTTATTCTTAATTAACAAAGATTCAGTCATCTATAACCCTATAACACATATAATCAGTTTCCACTTTTCCACCAGAATGCTTCAAAAGCACTCATTAAAAGGTTAAAATGTAAACATCTACACAATCTTATTCTTAATTAACAAAGATTCAGTCATCTATAACCCTATAACACATATAATCACAGTTTCCACTTTTCCACCAGAATGCTTCAAAAGCATTGATGCCATGCCCACTTTCACCCCATTGTGCAGTTTGCCCTGTCTACAGATTGGAATATAGTGCAAGGCCCTTCGTCCCCGATACAGGGGGACCCCTTGCTTATTTTTTTTATCTTGTTCCCTTTTAATTCATTGTTATTCTTTTATTCATTGTACAGCACTTCAACCTTGGTTGTGTTTATATGTGCTCTATAAATACATTTTATTAATTGATTGATTGATTGAGTGACAGCCTCATTTACCTATCAAGTTCCTTGGTCTTTGCACCTTTTGTCAATGCATACAAGTTAATAGAACATTACACTAACATTCTAACAGACTAACACATTTGAAACCTCCCGCTTAAGTACCTCAGTATGTTGAGTTGACAGTTAGGACTCTTCAGTCCAGCACAGAGCTGCTTCACTCCTGAATCTTGCAGGTCATTGTTACTCAGATCCAGCTCTCTCAGAGAAGAGTTTGATGATTGTAGAGCTGAAGCCATGATTTCACAGTGCTGATCAGAGAGATGACAGCTTGACAATCTAAACAGGATCATGAGAATCAATCCATTACATACTGTACACACTGTATACATACAAAATTAAACTGTATGTACATTGTCTCATGTTTTTGAGAAGAAAGTGTCTGCATCCCATTGTGATGTTCACAGCTATCTTCTATAAAGTTAATGACAACATCAAATATGGATTAACTAATGATGGATCATTGATAATGGCCACATTATCATTCTGTTTTCATTCAATAGCTGTATAGATAATAAAGCATTCACGATCAGAGTAACTAATTGCAGGTGAAAGTGCACTTATAAAAGTGTCGGACGAAAAAAACCATGAATCTAAAAGTATAATATATAATGTATTTAATCACACATTATTATTAACATATTAATTATTCATTGTGAACGTCAAACCTCAGTATGTTGAGTTGACAGTTAGGACTCTTCAGTCCAGCACAGAGCTGCTTCCCTCCTGAACCTCGCAGGTTATTTTTACTCAGGTCCAGCTCTCTCAGAGAAGAGTTTGATGATTGTAGAGCTGAAGACAGGATTTCACAGTGCTGATCAGAGAGATGACAGTCTGCCAATCTGAAAAAAGAGAGGGCCCAGATATAAGGCATGCTGGTGTACCCACCAGATTACAAGACTTCAATATGAGCTTCATTGAGCTTCAACACAAGATAATGATTGTCCACGGTCTTTACAGGAAGACCCAGTAATTAAAATAAATATATGTCTTAAAAGTAATATTTTACATTCTTGTTTCTTAATAAATGTGACACATTTATTCATTCAAAACTTAATTGTGGAAAAAGCCTTATTAGTTGAATATTGTCATTTCATTTTTTAAATAAGTGTTTTCTTCATAGTCTAGTATAATTATATTCAACTTATAATATTATTTCATTTTCACACTCACAGAGCTTTTCTGCAGTTCCCCACAGCAGGTAACAGTCTCCATCGACCCTCTTTTGATGACTTGATTTTGTAGTTTTTTAGGTCAAACTCCTCCAGCACCTCCTCCGACATCAGGATCATGTTTGCCAAAGTTGAACATTGTGCAAGAGTAAGATTTTTTTCTTTCTTTCCAGATGTTAAAAATACCTGCATTTCCTCAACAACAGAATTATTCTTCATCTCAATCAAGCAGTGTGACAGATTCATCCATCTTTCAGGACTGACATTGTTTTTTTGACCTCGCTTGAGGTTGTGGATTTCTTGATGCATGCTCTCTGGGTTGTTCTCTGTGTGTATCAGTACATCCTGTAAGAGTCTCTGATTGGACTCCAGTGAGATGCCATGAAGAAATCGAAGGAAAAGATCCAGGTGTCCATTTTTACTCTTCAAAGCTTTATTCATTGCTCCCTTCAGAAACGTATTCAGAGGAACATCCTCACACTGAGTTCTGGACTTTCCTGTCAGGAACATTTTCAGAACCTCACTGTTCTTGTGTAAATAGCAGTAAAACACATACAGTGCTGCAAAAAACTCCTGAAAGCTCAGATGTACAAAGCTGTAAACCTTCCTGTGATAAATCACAGATTCCTCTCTAAAGATCTCAGTGCAAATCCCAGAATACACCGAGGCGTCAGTGACGTCTATGCCGCTCTCTCTCAGGTCCTCCTCATAAAACATCACATTGCCCTTCATCAGCTGATTGAAAGCCAGTTCAGCAAGTTTCACAATCACTTCTCTGTTGGACTGCAGGAGTTTCTCTGGATCTCTCTCTTCATACTTCTGGTTCTTCATATTTGTTTGAATGAGCAGGAAGTAGATGTACATTTCAGTCAGAGTTTGAGGGATTTCTGCACTGAGATCTTGTTTCAGGAGGTTTTGAAGCACAGTGGATGAGATCCAGCAGAAGACGGGTATGTGGCACATGATGTGGAGGCTTCTTGCTCTTCTGATGTGTGAGATGATTCTGCTGGCTTGATGCTCGTCACTGATTCTCTTCCTGAAATATTCCTCCTTCTGAGGGTCATTGAATCCCTGAATTTCTGTCACACGGTTGATGTAGTTGGAGGGGATCTGATTGGCTGCTGCTGGTCTGGTGGTGATCCAGATGAGAGCAGAGGGAAGCAGATCTCCTTTCATGAGGTTTGACATCAACAGACCCACTGATGAAATCTGAGTCACATCAGAAACTTTCTCACTGTCTGAAAACATCAGTGAAATTCTGCTTTCATCCAGACCATCAAAGATGAACACAACTTTACACTCCTCATAAATCTGTGAGTCCAGATCTTGAAGTTCAGGATGAAAGTCCAGCAGAAGTCTGTGAAGACTGTACTGATGATCTCGGATCAAGTTCAGCTCTCGAAATGGAAGCACAAACATGAAATCTA